GGACATGTTCAAAGACACCTGCAAGGACCTTGACGAACTTACCGAAACCATTTGTGCTTACATTAAGTTTTGTGAAGAAACTGTTACTATTTATAAAACCCTTACGTACTATCCAAATAATAAGCCATGGATAACGAAAGAACTGAAAGATCTTATAAAAGAAAAACGGAAAGCCTTTAGAAGTAATAACATGAAAGAAATGTACTTGGTATCTAAAAAAAATAAAAGAAAGATTGCTCATTGTAAACAAACGTACAAAACTAGAATTGAGAGCGAATTTCAGACAAATAATATGGGAAATATGTGGTCCTCTTTGAAAAAAATAACGGGTTATACTGCAGCGAGAGAGAGCGTACAAGTAAAAAATGAAAGAGACTATGTAAATGAGCTAAACAACTTTTATTGTCGTTTCGACTGTTTTGATTTTGAGAATGAGCAGCGTGATCTTAAACAGAGGCTAAGAGACGAGATGAGCAAGTATTTTAACCTGGCCCTACACAAAAACTACATTCCTACAATATGGAAAACATCGGAGGTAATACCAATACCAAAAAAGCCTAAAATATATGAATTAAATGACTTAACACCAGTCGCTCTTACATCCATTCCTTTCAAGTGCCTTGAAAAATTGATCATCTCTAATATTCTACGCTGTGTTCATGGAAATCTAGATCCATTCCAGTTTGCATACAAACAAGAGAGGGACGTAGAAGATGCTGTACTTGTTTTTTGTGACTCTATACTGAAACACCTTGAAACATCTAAAACTTATACGAGGGTACTTTTTGTAGATTTTTCCTCAGCACTTAATACAATTCAACCGCATATTGTCATTGAAAAACTTCTGAGTCTGAGAGTTAGTCATCATATCGCAGCATGGATCCTGGAATTTTTGACAGGTAGACCACAATATGTGAAGCGAAACAACACAAAATCTGACACAATTCTTTGTAACACCGGCGGTCCTCAGGGGTGTGTTTTGTCACCAGTTTTGTATACTATATATACCAACGATCATAGAAGTATACATAAAACAACACGCTTAATTAAGTTTGCAGATGACTCCGCTATTATTGGATTAATAAACCTTGATGAAAAAGAGTATTTCGAAGAAATATGTAGGTATTTTAAATGGTGCAACTCAAATTTTCTTAAAGTGAACCTCTAAAAAACAAAGGAAATGATTTTTGATTTTAGAAGAGAAAAACCAACAATCCCACCACTCGTAATTGAACAAGAAACTATTGAAATCACGGATTCATACAAATATCTTGGCCTTACAATAGACAACAAATTTACACGGCAAAACCACGTAAACAATATCGTTAAAAAGGTAAATCAGAGGCTGTACTTTCTGAGGAAACTAAAGTCTTTCAATCTGAATCCATCCATCCTTCAGATTTTCTACACCACCACAATAGAAACTTTGATAAATTTTGGTATCACTTGCTATGGTAGCAATCTGGGAAGGCAGCACATTATAAAACTAAACAAGTTGATAAGAAAGGCATCAAGAACAATTGGTAGAGACCTAAGTAACTTTGAATATCTGCACAAGACAAACGTTCTAAAAAAGGCGGAAATAATGCTTAGTGACCATAGCCACCCACTGACATCGGAATTTCAACTATCGACCCGCAGTAAACGATACATTTCCAAAAAAGCAAGAACAGACAGATATAGAAATTCAGAGAAACAGAGAGAGAGAGAGAGAGAGAGAGAGAGAGAGAGAGAGAGAGAGAGAGAGAGGGAGAGAGAGAGAGAGATAGAGAAAGAAAGAAAGAGAGACTGAATGTTTTACGAGCGGGTTGTCCCAGCCCGTGAGACATGTATTTACTTGGCCTAATGTCCTGTCTTGTTGTGCGTTTGCGTGATGGAACCTTTACGCCTAACTTTTGTAACGTCTACTGCCATTGTTAACGACCAAGACAAATTTCTCCCTGCGAGATGAATAAAGATTTTCATTGTCATTGTCATTGTCATTTTAACTTCACAAAAGTGAACCATACTTTTCAAGTCTTTGCTGGACGTCGTCAAGGCAGTCTGCAGTTTTAGATATAAAGCTACCAGGGTTCTTGAAGCTATTGATTTATGCAAGGGGTTTTTCATAAAGAATGACGGGCCTCGTTTCTGTTGATAGTCGTAATACTTCTGTTTTAGATACAATTATTATAATGTCGACTTTTTCCGCAGCTTGTGCTAGTTCGTTTGTATTTTATTACATTTAATGTACTGTGGTGTTTTAATAGGCAGATGCCTTCCGCATAATCTAAATCTCCTAAATATGTGTCATTTGTCCATCCAATGCCTATTTTCATGTCTTTGTTCTGTCTCATTACGAAATCGATCACAATTCCAAAAAGTACAGGCGATAATACAAGCCATTTGTAACTCCAGTATTTACATCAAAAGGTGCAGATTTCTGATAGTTCTCTTTCAAACAGGACACAGCAGCTTGTTTGGTATAATGATCTTATACAGTTGATTATTTTTGTTGGGATACATAAATTACAATACTTTTCCACAGGTCCTTTCGGTCTGTGCTGTCAATGGCGTTTTAAAAAATCCACAAAGTTCAAAATAATGAGGATATTCCATTCTTTGCTTTGTTCTACAATATTATTTCTCAGAACAAACAGTTGAGCTGTACTTAATCTCTCCTGTCGAATACCCACCTGTTCCTCTAGTAGTCTCCCATCTATTCGTTCTATATTTGTTCTTGATTAAAATGTTCAACCACGTTTATGGTCCAGCTTTTTAGTGTAAGTTATACAAGACCATACAATGGCATCAGCAATAATAATAAACTTGCATTGATTGAGACATATAAATAGTTTAGATGTAAGATTAATTGTTTTTTTCTCAAACAAACCAAACTTCTTTTCTGAAAATTATCTTGCCTATACCTAAATCCTTTACAAAGATGTAAATAGTAGCCTACTCTTTACAAATGTTAATGAATGTTTTTTACTATTTAATTTTTACCATGAAACCAAGCCGTGCTGTGAACTAACATGAAAACAACCAACTTATGTCCCACTCATAATTATGAACTTAAATAGTTGTGACCGCCGTAAAATTCTTACTAAATCTCAAAATTCCTTCATCACAAAGCCCCCGCCCCCGAAAAAAAATCCAGCAAACAAACAATAACAAAATCAACCCGTCCTTTGTGACTAACCTCAGCTCCTTTCTTTCACTTCTCCCAATGTAGGTGGCGCACGGTTTTGACGGGATTCGTCACAAAAACGGGGAACCGACAAAGATGTACACAGGTCTTGACTACGCCCAATTAATACTGAAAAGCTTCGGTAGGCGAGGTAACTGAGTCTTTTTTTCCAGTTATGACTGTAGTACATGTTGACATGTTAGCCAGTAGTTGTTGTAATATATTAAACAAAGTGATGCTCGATTTTAAACCTCACTAAACCACCCGAGAATATACAAGACCTTTTCTTTGTCGCTGTTGGTGTTGCTAAAAGTTACAACCCTTCTGACCTACAAACCCCTTAAGCCCAAACACAAAAGACCATTTTTCGTCCCAACTCATCACCAAAAACTACCTAATGTACATAAAATCCACAGCCAACACTTCAGTATCTTGTAAAAATCAGACAAAATGAAAGTCTGTTTCCCCGACCTCAGCGTGATTGCACTTCGACAGCCTCCCAATCTTGGCAACCTCCTCATTTGCATTACAGAAGTAACACCCACGTCCTCACCTCCGATAAACCCATGCCCCCCCCCCCCCCCCAATTATCCTTGTCAAAAACCTATTGAAATAGTCCAATATACAACTAAAGAAAAACTTAACCGAAGAGAATCAACGCAGATTTGGAACTTGGGGGTCTCACAAAATTCTCACTGGCCTTATCATCGACGAGCCCCATTTTAAGGACCTTAAATTTACAACATAACGTACTAATCACCCCTTGTGTTACAGTAATCCCCTCCCTTTGGCCCTGCCTTTCCGTTATATTCCTTACCTTCACGCACTTGTTTCCCTTACAACTCTCTCTCTCTCTCTCTCTCTCTCTCTCT